GTATATATTCCACAGAAGTATGTAGCAACATATCCATTTCATTTTTGAGCATTGAGAAGTACAAAACAGGTAACATTAGAATAAAATTCATATGAAACTATCAAATTGGAAAGAAAAAAAGGGAGCTGACAGTGTTTATCAAATTGAAAATTGAAATGCCAATGACAGCAATCTTGGTAATACTCTTTCCTTCAAAATGATCCATGTCCATCAGGCCAAAAAATAAAAATGTACAGAGAGGGAATGGAATTTTGGCATAGAGACTACGCGGAATATGTGAAGGGTAAGAATTTATAGCTGTTCTCCCGGTGTGGCAGGCACTACAAGTCACCTTGTGTCCTTGTATTCTTTGTATCTAATGTCCTCTAAGAATCAGAAACAATGTCAAAACATTGCTGTCCTGATCCACACTTTCTGTTCCTTGCTAAGATTCTCCATGTTACTGGTGGAAATCTGAACAAGCTCCCTGCCCCCATGACTTCAGGTCTGTTCCTCCTCTGTGTTGCTAGTCACACTTGCAACAGTGTTCCTATCTCAGAGGGGAAAATCCTAAGAGGAGGGCTTATTTTTATGCTCCCCAGAAAAATCAACTGGAGTCTGAATCAGGTCAAGTACAATATACTTGGTTTAAGTTCACAGCTCAGTGAGTTGAAAGCCTAAGTTCACGGGCCCACCCTTCCCATCATCACATGACCAGCTCTTCACAGTGTTCCCTTCTATGACAGTCACCAACTCTTTCCTCCACTTTAAACCTGGCTCGTCACAACTCAGATGCCCCCCATAGTACTGCGTTTCCCAGACTTTTTTTAAATGGAAACACTGTATGTTTTTGTGCACTGCTTATTTTTTTAAACATGATTCTCAGTTTTATTATTAGCTTCTGTAATTCTGAAAAAATCCATTGTTAGAATGTAGGATAATTTGTTATGCAGTCCTGTGTTCGTGAACATCTTGTTACCAGTGTTCCTTCACTGTACCTAAGTCGCCTTGAACGTATGTTCTGGTGCACAAATGCCTCATTCTCCTGGTTAAAAACTTGCAACTGGAAGTGCAGGATCACAAGGAAGGCATGCAGACAATTTTACACAAGGCTACCACCCCGCTGTGTAAACGTGCCAGGACACAGTGCCCTCGAAGGGCAGTGTGGTAAAGGCCCAATGCTCCACGCCCCCGCCGGCCTGCTGTGAACTCTCCTGGATTGTCGCTGTGCCAGCAGAAGTGTAGTGGAATCTAAAGACATCCTCATGTTTATCCGCCTAGCAAATAATAATTCCAAGACTTTTGTCTGCTTCTTGGCCACCTGCAACCCAATTCTTTAGAAAACTGTCTGACAATTCCTTGTCCACTTTTAAACTTTTTGTCACCTTACTGAGTTACAAGATTTCCTTATGTGTCCTAGATAAGCCATTTAAACTGCAAATATGCCCTACTAGTCTGTGCTTTGATTTTTGCAGCTGTCTCATAAAGAGCAAATGTTTTAAATTTGTTTCAATCAGGTTGATCAAATCTTATTGTGCTTTCTTTTTCCTGTCTTATCTGAGAAAATCAAATATAACACAAGGTCGTTTCAAGTTTTCTCCTACATGTTCTTTTTCAAAGCTTTTGGTTTTACTTCCTACGCTCTGATCCACTACACGTTACAGTGTTCTACAGGGCAGAGTCAGGACTCACATTGGGCTCACAGATACGCACTGAACCCCCATCAGTCAGGGAAAGGTGTGGCCCCTTCATGGCGTTACCAGGCCCTTTACTGAAAATTAGATGATCGTGAGCGCATGAACCTGCCTCTGGACGGCCCCTTTATTTAAGCTTTCATTTGCAAATACTTTCAAATACCCAAAAGTTTGTGAAAATAATTCCAAGAAACTCCACATATACTTTGATTCTTTAACTGTAAACATTTTGAGACATCTGCACCATCTATCTATCTTCAATATCATTATCTATTGCTATCATCTATCTATTATCTATCAATCTACCATCTACCTATCATCTATCATGTATCATCTACCAGCTATCTATCATCTGTCCATAATCTATCTGCCTTCCTGAACTGTTTTGAAAATAAATTGAATATATTGTGCTTCCTTTCCTTGAATATTTTACTGTCTACTCTTAAGAATAAGGATGTTCTCTTCCATAACCACCAAAGGGAACTCTATACATGATGGCTGTTTTCTGCAGCAGTTGCCTTTACAACAATGCAATAGTTTCTCTTTTGCTTTTTAAGTTATCTAGTTAAGTTTTTATACTGTTTTTTCTTATTTACATTAAATTTTTTCTCAAAAATGTACATTTACTTAAAAGTCATTCCATGGTTGAAATTGAAATATAGTATAACTTGCTATACATGGAAATCCATTTCAATAGAAGGATGAAACTTTTTTTAAAGTTATTAAATTTAAGCTGTATGTTGTTATTCAATTAAACATCTTAGCTTTGTCTTTGCAATCAAAGGAAGTTGGCAGGTATGAGCAAGATATTCTAGACATCCCCTGACATGCAATATCTCTGTGGATATCTGGGGTTATGAAGACCAACCTCGAATACATTTAGCACTGTACACCTACAGTATATAGTAATGTTACGTGAACAAATGGTCCAATACATTTTAAATAATTTAAAAGATGAAAACATGCATTATGATAACTTCATTTATTTGAAAACATCCTGCAAAAAACATCCTCCAACAGTTGTAGATATTCTTGACAACATTGAAGGCAATAGTGAATAATGTGGGATATCCTAATATTTGTGAATACAAAACCAGTAAATGGAGCCGGGCTTGGCGGCACACATCTGTAATGCCTGCACTTGGGAGGCTCAAGCAGGAGGATTGCTATGAGTCTGAGGCCAGCCTGGGCTACACAGTGAGCTTGAAACCAGCCTGAACTATATAGCAAGATCTTGTCTCAAAAAACAATAAACAGGGGCTGGTGAGATGGCTCAGTGGTCTAAAGCACCTACTTAGAACAAGCTTAGCAAAGCACAGGGACCACGGTTCAATCCCCCAGCACCACATGCCAGCCAGCCCCGCCCCCTGGTGGGCTGAGCTGGCCACACACACACACACACACACACACACACACAAAACTAAATAAATAAATAAAATTTTTAAAAAAACCAATAAACAAAAATCACTAATAAATGTATAGAAACTAAAAATAATTCTTTTCCAAAAGTGTGAGACAGGTCTTTGTGTGCTTCCAGAAAAGGATATAAATAATATATGTAGTGAAAAACTTCTCAGCACAAAATGGAAATAAGGATATAAAAAATTATGGCAGGTACCTTATCAAAAATTATATTTATGTCTGCCTAATAAACACATGTAAAATGTCCTTGGAAAACTGTATTTGCATACCATTTTTCTTGTGCAGGCATACAGAATTGAGTGGATATCCTGAAATCTAGCGTAGTTAATTCTCTGGTGTTCAGTGGGGTAGATTTTCCACTTAAAACCTTGCATATCTTTCCATTCCTTACATTTTTTCATAAATTGGCTGTTTCGTAACTTAAAAAATAAAATTCAATTGTTGAAAATAATTGAAATAGGCATCTAAGAAGAAAGTTTTCATAATAACTTACAGGGAAACCATCATTGTCTTAGCTGGCTAGGATCCTGTTTTAGTTTTGAAATGTCTCTTATTTGCCTTAAACTGTTCA